GGAGTAATCATCGGTTCTGGACGGCTTATACCGCCAACGCTCGGTCTACCCTCTCTCTTCCTTCTCAATTTTCTCTAAGTTCTTGTGATTGACGTCTCTATCAATTGCATTTTTATTTTCAAGTATAGTTACCCTTTTTTTATCTATTGTTTATTTTATTTGTTTGACTACTCGGATTTTTTTATTAATTGCTCTGATTTTCAACTATTATTCCATAAGCTAATAAATAGGTATATTTTTGTTATTATTACATGATAATGAAAACTTGTATGCCAAAATTGCAATAAATAGATAGTAAAAAAAGTATTCAAAATATAAATAAAGTTAATCATGTTGTGAACTTTATCATCCGTTGATGTTCATTATTTTGTATATCATCAACGTTTCCAGGTCCTACTTCATCCATTTTTAAGACTTTCTAGTTGATTCATATTTACTAAGAACCACTAACTCCTAGAATCTAGTGACTCGCCCGACTCTCACAGTTTCTTTCCAGTTTCATTTCATACTGCAATTATGCATTGTGTTCCAAGTACGAAACTTCCACCCTTCAACTATTTCTCCCGACACAGAGAACTGTGATCTGTGTTAAAGCAGTTGAAGACTATCCTGCAATACATGATACTCCAAGTAAATAGTACTCAAATAGGGATGAACAACAGAATTCATGGAAGGCCCTGGTAAAACAATTCGAATCAAAAGACACAGAACAAGCAACTTATAATTTATTAGGGTCAGCGAAAAAAAATTTACTTATTTCTATATCAATTACTAACTAACTAACTCCGCTACAGGCCAGCATGACCCTTGGCCTCCTGAGTTATTTTTCTCCACTTCTCTCTGTCCTGTGCTACTCTCTTCCAATTGCGAACTTCTAGCTTCCTCGCATCTCTCTCCACTTCATCCTTCCATCTGATTCTCGTTCTTCCTCTTTTCCTCTTCCTACTGAATTGTGCTTCCATTATCTTTCTCTGCACCCGTTCATTCTCCGATTTGACTGCATGTCCTTCCCATATCAGCCTACTTGCCTTGATATAGTTATTAATGTTTTGATTCTGTAATATAGCCTCGATTTCATTGTTACTTTTGATTTTCCACTCACCATTAACACTTGTAGCCTTCTAATTATTTCCTTCTTATTATTTTCCTTTCGAATACTTTTAGTTTACATTCTTGCGATAAACAATAGGTTTCCGCACCATAGGTGACTACCAGTCAAATAAGCGTTTTATACAGCTTTATTTTTATGGATTTTGACAACAATGGAGACTTGAGAAGTTTTAGGTTAGCATAGTAAGCTCTATTACCAGCCATTATTCTGTTTTCTATTTCTCTGCTAATTACATTTTCATTGTTTAGGGCAGAACCAAGATACACGATTATGGGTACATTTTCGAACTTAAAATTCTTTATTCTGATTTCACTGCAGGATCTTCTACTTGCTGCCGAGGACAGTTTTAGTATTTAGTTTTTTTTTCATTGACCACAAGTCCTACTTTGTTGCCATTTTCATATATAATCTCAAATGCCTTTTTACGTCGCGCAGCTATCACCTGGTCATCAGCATAAGCACAAATTTTCAGGTCTTATCAATGATGGTCCCTTTTTTAGCTGCATCTTTCAGAGCATCATGCAGAACTATGTTGAATAGTCTTGCCGATGAGGCATCTCCTTGGCGCACTCCAGATTATACCCTGAACAATCGATCAACTTTATTTCCAATTTCCATGGCGATGCGTATTAAATTAATTAGTTTATGTGGCACTCCACTTTTCATTAGCATTCTTAACAGAACTGATCTCTTGATGCTATCAAACGCCTGCCTGTAGTCAACGAATAAGAAGTGCAGATCAATGTCATACTCGCAGAAGTTTTCCATCATTTGTCTTATAACAAAAATTTAATCAGTGGTACCTCGGCCATCTCTAAAACCACACTGGTAATCATCTAAAATATCCTCAGCATATTTTTTTCTTCAATGGCTTTCATACACTCTCTATTGAACCAATATTCATTTCTTCCATTTGTAATTTCTCCCAATCTCTCTTCCGCTGTCTTCCCTCACAACTTTTCATTTCTTCTCAATTGGCCCACTCTCCTCTTCTGGCATGTTTTCCTCTCTAAATTCCCTCTCTCCATAACCTCTTGGAAATTCCTTAGTTCGTTCGCCACTTTTAATTTTTCAGTGTCTCATTTTGTTAGTTCGATAGTTCCCGCTCATCCCACCTTTGCTATATTTTGCCTTCACTTAGCTCTAACTAAAAAGTATAAAATAATATATCGATTACTATTAAGGTTATAATTTCGTCGTCAGATTGATTATTCATCTTTCAAACTCACGTACTAAACTAACATAGATAATGGATACAAACAGAAGATGCAAGAGGCACGTGCATCCTTGGTGTGAAAGCTCTATTATCAAGATGCAATAGGTTCTTTTATCAAATCTGTTCTAGTCTCCATTGCCACTTTTAACACATTTGGTATGCATCTAAACCCTGTACTTTTTCCATAATAAGGTTAGCGAATATATCTTTGAGTTCCTCGTTTAAGATTAGTTGCGTGTCAAATAGAGGTAGCCACCCTGTCTATGATAGTACCTTATGTTCAGAAAATACCGTGGAAACGATTGTTAGTCCACGGTCATATTGACGATCGCGTAAAGCTTCTTTTGAACTTTTTCTTGATGGCCTGAAAGGCTTTCACCATGGGCCCTCACCGACCTCTTTGCAGAAGTCCATCCAGCATCAGCACGCCGTTTGCTCTTCTTCATTGCTAGACAGAGCTCCCGCCTTTGGGCTTGTATTCTTTCTGGAGTGCTGTGAACTAAGGACTTTCTCTTGAACAGTGGTGCCTACTCCTCGCTGCGTGGCACCGTTTATAGCAATCAGCGAGGAGTTCGTTTCACCAGCTTGAACCCTAGTCATGTTCCACGTCTTGCACATTATTTGTGAAGATACTTCATTTGCGAATAACTCAAATAGTATACATTTTTTGCTTCCTCAATACCGAAAGTAGGAAAGCTTTCTATTCGTGCGGGAGATTAAAAAAAAATATTCTCACTATCAAAAATTTCCACTCGCGTTTTACGTTTCAGACATCATGGATCAAATATGGTTTGGTTATTGTCTATTTATGTCAATAGCCAAGTTGACATAATGGGCATATCACCTAATACCGTTTATCCAATTTTCATGAAATTTTTAGGTAATGCTGTTTCATGGCTACATAGACTTTTGGAGAAGGCGATCTCCTGCAAATGAAATGTTTGCGCCTATGGGTGGCTAAACAGTCCCATATCAATTTTCATCCAGTGCTTCTGCTTATGCAGCAGCAAATGTATTTTATAAGAACTGTTAATATTTCAGAAACAGCTTGTTCGAATTGGCTCAAAATTCGTAGGCTGGAGAGTTGCTGTAAACAGACTGAGCCAAGTGGTGAAGGCTTTTAGAGGTGACCAAACCTTGGTGACTTGTCATGGCCGCACTATGATAATGATGGCACTAGGGAATCCAGGACTTAATTTTGGGAGATCTTCAGCTGGAAAGATTTTTTTTCATGTATATATATATATATATATATATATATATATATATATATATATATATATATATATAAAATTAATTTGAAAAAAGAAACTAACTACCTAAATGACACAGTGTTTAAGTGATTCTTGAAGTCCTACTAAATGTAATTACACGAACAATAATAGTTTAAGCGATAGTTTTTAATATTTTTTTCTATAAAACATGGTTGTATTTTACCATTTTGGGAGGGGGCATTTCAGCCGGCAAGCCCTCATCCCTCCGTGGATGATGATATTCTGTGGCAAAAAATAAACAAATACTAATAATTCAAGTGAGAAGTTAAATAATATTCGGCAATTAAATAATGAATTTGTACTAAATGAAGTTCGAGCATTATTCAACATTAAACTGTGTGGCATGTTTTAGGATTAGGTCCAGGTAGTTCAAATTTTTTCTCAAAGATACCAACAGCAACAATTATATTTTCTTCTTATAATAGAACATATGTTAATACCAACTAAAAATTATTATGTAACAATTAATTTAAAATTTGTTATTAATATTCAACAAAACATTAAAATAGGCTGATTACCGCTTGGAGCAACAAAAAAATATGAATAAAATCAACTTATTTTTTATACTTTTCCAACTAACATTAACAGATTTATAAGACAAGTTAAGGTAAAGAATGCTTCATTGGTGGGTTACAGACATACACTCTCCCTTATGGTAAGCTTCTGTATCAAGCCTATAATTTCCCTATAGAGAGCAGCACTGGATGGATTAACTCCAAGCAGAAAGTCATTTACAACTGCATTAATTACACTAAATTTAAAATCAACTTTATTCTATATCATACAAAACGATATATCAGATCACATTATAAAGATATATTGAATCACACTAACTATTCATCGTCATGTCGAACAATAAATTGAATTAAAAAGTAATTTCAATGGCATTATGGCTTTTCACAGTATAGCCATAGAAAACACTTCCACAGATGGACTTGCTCAATGTTTCTTTACCTATTTCTGAAAGTTTCGCTGAATTATACTTGTAAATAACTTTGATGTTAGCCAAAAGACAAATACATACTAGAAGATGCTCTGGATGCCAATGTTCATCTCTCGCCCTTTGAAGTGTACTACATGTCCTGAAAGATCAGGGCATCATGCAGCAGTGCTGTTGAGGAATGTTCATCACTTGACAAACCCAACATGGCCACATTATACCTTGAACTATATTCAGAATTATTTTTATTTTATTTTATTTATTTAATGAATTTTACAACTGTACAAACAATACAAATAGTAAAATGCACAAATTAGAAATCATGATATGAACAGACTTGAAGAGATACTGTACTGACCAGTTGTAGCACTCCCTATTTAATTCTATGTGAGAAGATCACGAGACCATCTTCTTTTCAGATGTCTAAGGAGATTATCAGGAATCGAGGAAGAAGCAAGGCTGGAAACAAGTGGATTCGGATGGGACTGGAGTTTATCATGAAAGGATAGGTATCAGGCTAAATCAGCGGCACATGGGGCATTAAGGTCTTTATGAATGGTTTTATTTGTGACAAAATATTGAGCATTAAGGATTTTGGATTGGATATGATAGGAATTCGATGGTTTGGTAGAGCCCCAAAGCTCAACTCCATATGTCCATATAGGTCGTATTATGGTTAAGTAGATGAGTCTTTTGTAATTAATTGAAAGTTTAGAGCGTTTGTCTAGTGAGTGTTGGAGCAGTCGGAAACTATTCATAATTAGTGGGTCATTAAGTGACTGTTAGTGGTATTGGCATAGAACCTTTAAGTTTGCTAAGCCTTTTTATTATTATACATCAAATTTCATAAAATAAATAATCCTAAGACTTGAAGGTAGGAAGTTAGCTCATCAAGATTTTTTTAACTCCTTTTTCTAATTTAAATACATTACAGGATTTTATTGATAAATAGTTAACACATAGCTATAAGATGGTTCACTGTGGAGGAGAGGTTCTTACACTAATAAATGAACATTTTTATTTGTATAACCCATCCCAATGCTAGGTATTTAACACTGTTATGTTATTAACTATAGTTCGATCACAATTAATTGGCAGCCTGAGGGTGAACTCTTGCAGCACCTAAGTTTAAACTTGCATTTTGTTTATCTCTAACACAGTTACTACTTACAAAATATTTACAGAAATTGAAAGATTTATGTATACATTTTTAAATATTTTGTAAGTAATATCAAAAACTTAAGAAAAAAGTATATAATTTTCTACTTTCTTTGTGTTGCACGCGTTCACCCTTGGGCTCTTAACTAATAGCGGTCAAGCTATAGTAAAATAGCAACCCTAGCGGGTTCCCAGGGAGTCCATAGATTAACAACTTCTGCTATAGAATATAATTAGCCATATTTCAAGTACTAATGGCAAAAATAATAATGATTTTAAAATAAAACACAAAAATTTCACTCAAATACAAATTTTTTATAAAATTACGTTATACTTAAGAAATGAGCTACTATTTGAAAAATAAATAAATCACTAAGCATTTTATTTTATTTTACAGTCAACAGTAATAAGTCTTTTATTAAAAAAAAAGAAGAAAAAATATAACAATTATTCAATAATTTTTTATAACAAATATACATTTATCATAAAATTGGATAGCTTTTACTTACAATCATACATAAATATATATCATATATATAACTCTTTTTAATTTCCATCAGTCTATGTAGGAAAGTTATATTACATACAAAATGTCCTTCGAAATTTCTTATAAAAAATTTATGAGTAACTCGAACTCAAATATCACTTTAAAAAGTGTTTAACTTTGCACAACTATTTTTTTCGCCTTCCAGTCATGCGCCTCGGAGCTGTACTTCCACTTCCGATACTGAACATTTGTTGGCCAGTTCCACCAACTAAAAAACAATCAAAATCAGACAATAATCATATTGAAAATTTTCAAATAAACTAAAAAATTTTAGGTTCAAGTCCAAAACAATTTTTAAAAATCTTATGTCTAAAGTGTTTTAATTGCAATACATAAATGTGCAACATTATGCAATGAATAAAATATAGAACCTAAGGTTAAGGTGACATAGGAGTAGTGGATTATAATTTTCATAGGGTATGGAGAAGAAAAGGGGTTAAAATAAATAAATAAAAATGAAGTGTTACAATAGTAACATAGCGGGTGACTAGGGTTGTTTTTTTGTTTTTTTTAATAGTAATTTTTATACTCAGCCAATTAAAAAACAAAACATAATGATATTCTTACAATATTAATTGTGTATTATTGATGTTTTGGCCTTATAATTTTAGGCATTTTCAAATCTATACCACAAAACTATTTTAATAAAGAATAAAAAAATTGTATTTTGATGGATAAAAGGTTCTTTACCCCTATTTTCTGGTTATTTTTTTTAGCATCTCCATACTTCAAACAGAATAATTTTCTAAGTAGTGTATAGAAACTGACATTTTAAACTATATATCAATAGTAGGAAATAAAAACCTCATAAATCCATTAATCTATTTAAACTATTTAACTTCAGTCCCAGGAGGCGGGGTTAATATAAAAACTACAGAGCTAAATCTTTTTCATTTTTTTAAACACATATTTTATTTCCTTCTAAAATTTACCAAAATGGATTAACAAGGTTTTCATTGCCTATTATTGATATCTGATAATGTCCAATAAAGGACAATTTAATTCGTTATTTAAATATTAATTGAGTACTTAATCATTAGTAATTGAGTAAAAAATCATTCGATAATCGTGCAAATGTTTCAGCACATTCATATTTGAATAAAGCTTTATTGATGAATTTCAAATTAAATTTTCAGCAGTTTTAAAAAAAAAATTTAAAAATTGTAATTTAAAAAATAATGGATTACAGATAAGGGGCTAACTGAATAGGTGCATCTCTTAAAGAAGAATAGTTTAAATAATTATTTTTCATATCATCGACATCATACCATCAAGGTCGTAACATTATAATGTTAATTTGAAAAATTCAAGTCAAGCATTCATGGGACTAATATTAATAATAATGAAAGTATCAATTAGTTAGTAATTGTATTGATTTAATGTTTAATGAGACTGTCAGTATTCAATATGCCTGTTAACAAGGAGCTAAAAGTGAGTTATTTCCTCTTTACAACAGTAAACTCGAGAATTTAGAACAATTTAAATGAGATGAATAAAAATAAAAATAAACCTAAACTCAGGAAGAGTAGACAAAAATATGAACTTGCCAAGTGATCACAAATAGTCATTGATCATTAGAACACCTTTATTCTTCTTTAAAATACTACATTCGAATGTTTCAGCAGATTTATAACATAAGTTGAAAACTAATGATTTAAGAATGGGAATGAGGAACATAGGATATTAAAGTCAAATTAGGTTAAAGACATATGACTTGGATACTGTAGATATACAAGATTGTAAGCCAGAAAAAAGGGATTCATTCGCAGGAAGGAAATACACATGAATAAGTGAGAACAATAAATCTTGTGCTGAGTAGACATCAAAGCAGTAAAATATCTAATTGTGGAGCAGATTATGAGAAAGATCAAAAACTAGCAATTGCTTAACTTTGACAAAAACTTTTCAGTTTAAAGAGTAATTTTATTTTAATCTACAGAAATAAATTTCCTTAAAAGCAGGCTTGTAGTTTCATAAACTACTGAATAAGTATTTTTTCTTTTAAAAATTAATAATACAGAAAAAAGAAGAGGGAGGGAGCTAATCTGTGTTTGGAAGGAAGATGTTCTTGAGTGCACCAACTGCTGGAATATTTTGCTGCTGCCCATAACCTATATAATTCTAATCATAAGAGTACTCCCTTATGCAGAGTAGGGACTAGGTTTTTACCAATATGTATTCTGAAAAGGGAAGTCAACAATTGACAAAATTTTCATATGAAAAAGTATAAGCTGCAGTAAAGTAAATCGTATACATTCTACTTATTTAGAACAAAAAAAGAAGGTTTAAGGAAACATTTTCATTTCAGTTCGTTTTTTGAGTGCCTGGCCAATTAAGGGTTAATGATGACTGAAGCTAAAATCAAATATATGGTGACTGGTCAGTGAACAAAGCCAGCGAGGAGTTCAGCAAATTCTCAATTGAGAAAGGGAATGAGTTATAACTAGGGACACAAGTACTCTGACAACAATATTACTGCCGCAGTACAGAGCTGAATCAATGCTCCTAACAGATGTTTTTTGGCCTGAGCTATTAGCTAAGAAGCAACCTCATCACTAGAGCCATAAAGCTGATCCTCTACAAAGTATGAACACACCTTGTCCTGGCTGCAGTGTGCTAGTCATGTGGTCAGGAAGGATAACACAGGAATCCCAAAGAAGATTCTAACTGAGACACTCCATGGAACAAAATGATGTGGAGAGCCAAGGCTAAGGCTAAGATGGCAAGCTAATGTGCCCCAAAATGTAAGATGCCTTCATAGGACTCAGAATTTGAAAGTGCGTGCACAAGATCATGACAACTGGAATAGGCTTATCCAGGAGGACTCGCTTGTGGCTTGTAGAGCCAAAAATCAAAATACAGAAATGTTATAGATTAAAGTCAGAGATAATATAAAAGAAACAAGTAGCATTAGTCTGAATCTTACAAGATAAGGCTGAGGTAGTGGATTATTCTCTACCCATTGGTTCTTCTGTCCACAATAGCAATTAAACCGTGTTCGAGTTTATAATATGTCAGCATTATATTATAAAGCTGTCCTTGAAAGTGATTCCACCCCAATAACAGAATCTATAGAAGTAAAATCATTCTCGAGAGTAGAAAAATTCAAATACCTCGGCTCAACACTAGCCCCAATGAATGACCAATGATCGGAAATAGAACAGCGTTTAACAAGCACAAACAGAGCTTTGTTCTCCCTTTCAAAGATATTAAAATCCCAAGAATCTCAAATTAAGGGTTTACAATGATATGATAAAGCCATTTCTAATATATGGCTGTGAATTCTGGACACTAACCAGCACTCTAGAAAAAAGTGTTGAAAAATTTGAGAGAAAAATCCTCTGCACGATAACTGGAGTGATCTGGGTTCTGAGTATTAACGTATGGAGAAGAAAGACCAACCAAGAGCTGTTTACAGAAACAGGTCAATCAATATCTCATGATATAAAGGCATGTAGCTCAAAGAAATCCATCCGGAAGCATCTACATGACAATGAATGCCTCAATAGTAGGCAAATGACCAAAAAACAGATGGGTAGATTGAATCAACAAAAATGTAATAGAGCTAAATAGAAATAAATAACCGAAAATGGGTAGAGATGGAGTAGTCTTGCTAAGGTGATAAAACATCTACCAGGTCTTTAATGGCAACAGAAAAAAAAATGTTTATAACCTTATGCCTCTTAAATAAATAAACATTTGGAGGAAGAAAAGGGAGAGGCTTCAAAATGAAGTTGGATATAACCAATCAAAGAGGACTTAGAACTAAAAGCTCATGCCTATTATTTTATCTTTCTTACTAGCCAAATTAAAAAAAATCAGCCTATTGAATCTCTAATCAGATGCTATTTTGAAACAAGGAATATCCTGTAGTGACCTGTGTGATACTGGGTAAAAACTATCTAATTTTTAAGTTTAAAATGAAAATTCTTATTTGGGCATTGAGTTAATTAGGGCTGTTATTTGTTCACTATATATTTATTTATTCAATCTACAATTTCTATTTTCATGACAAAGCTTCGGCAGTTACGCCATTTACAAGCCAATCTAAAAAGACTAGTTAACATTGTTATTTTACAATTTAAAAAATCTGGTGTGATGCGCGCATCACATAATTTCACTCATCAATGTAGGAGTAGATAGGTATTTTCATATATCGGAAGTGAAAAGTGAAAACTATGGTATAACTTTATTTAAAAAATTAATTACCATGTTTTTCCTGTCCTTCGAACCTACTAAATTTAGATGTTTTGTCACTTTTCATTTCTTTTTATGACTGTGTATAACACCCTAAAAGTGATTGTAGAGAAAAACAGATTTTTTGGAAAAATTCTGAGTTTTATCAGAAACAGTTATCATGAAACTCATCGAAAGAAAAACTTAACGTTAGTAAATATTGTATATTATTAGGTTTCTATTAATAGATTATCAACATTTTGCGTGAAAACATTTTTATGAAGTCCTATACAGAGGATTATCGGGTATCTGTAAAGAGATGGGATCGGGAAAAGTCAGATGCTCTCAGCTATTTCCAATGCTCTAAGATTCCAACCCTTATTTCTCCATTAGTTACCAATCAACTTTCTTCATTAATTATATTTAACCATTGTTTATATCACTTTACAATGTGAAATGGTCAATTATTTCAAATAAAAAATATTAAAATTATTTTAGAGGAATTTTCGTGGGTATTTTTATTTGTTTAAATACCCTTAAAAAGACAAATTTAAATTTTTATATCACCGTATTTCATACAATTAAATATTAAATAATACCAACGATAGCATTTATGAAAATCGCACATGTATATGTACATAATATGGTAGGATTCCGTATTATATTAAGCTCATGTTAGGTATGTACTCTATAGGGTGAGCTCGAACTCTCTCGTATTCCTTTGGTTCTTCCATTACAACTATGATCCGTTATGATCTGTTATATCTCCTTTAGTTAGTTATCAAATTCTTTCATATTTTATATTTAACTATTTTTTGTATCAAAGATTAATGTGAAATGATTAATTATTTCAAATAAAAAAAAATAAAGGTACTTTAGAGGCAGCTAATATTGAAAATTAGCCATTTAGGTCCTATGTTAGAGAACATCAATGAGAATAAAACCTACATTATATTAAAAGCTGCTTAATAATACACTGATATACTGAGTTAAATCAAAATCGTTAGAGCTTTTTTTGAGAAAATCGTAAATATGTGTTAAAACGATTATATAAAGTACCGCTTCCGGTTTGCCGATTTTGACAAAAATTTTGCTGTAATATCTAAAGATTATAAAAACCTCAAACACGCAGTTTCATTTTCATATGGCTTTTCATTTTTGAGCTAGGCTGTTCACAAACACAGACCATTTTGCGGGACTTGGTTATTTGGACTCATGGGATCTCAAAACATGTATTTCCGTTTAAAACTCAGATTCAAAAATTTTCACGATTGCAATACTTTCCCTTACTACATATTACATATATAGGTAAATGAAAGTAAAAATAACAGCCCAAATTATTCTAATATCTATTGAATAAATAGATAATGAAGCTCAATATTAAACTTTATGACTAAAATATTATTTTTAAACATAGTTGACAAAAATATTTAATGAAATTCTCTCCATAAGCAGGCAACACAGATCATCCAACCCTTTTTTCCCTCAATTATGAGAAACACATAAAGGTAGTTGGGTCAGAAAAACTTGGTCCAAAACAATATTCTACATTCATGTACCATATCTTAAGTACAATAAATCATTAAATATATTTCTAAATCATAAATTTTGAGTGTAATGATACATTTTTTTTTTAAAGTAGGGTTATAAATATAATAAAATTGGTAGTAAGAGTGAACTGTAAATCATGCAAAACCTTGGATCAACTGCAAAGCAAATAGCATAGGATCGTTGTTATAATGAACTGATAAAAGCAGTGCCATAATAAGTTTTTGTAAACAGTTTGGCAATAGTTTCCTTTAGACTGCACCAACATGCAAAAAATTAAATAATCCAATAAAAAGCAAAGGCGTGATTGTTGCGAAAACCAGCACAAAAAAATAAAATAAAAAACTCACCACCAGGAGAAAAACCTGCAGTAAAACCTGAAATTTCGTGAATCCAACATAAGTAAAATATCCTATAAAATTGCATTTGTAGATTGAGCAACTACATCTGAACCTACGTAAGGTATAACATACTTGAACCAAGATCATTTTTAGTTATTTTAGTATTAATACAATAGCTTCTAATTTCAAATCTATTATATATTTATAATATTAAACATCATGATACAGCCACCCATCTCTAATAACCTAATAAACTAAAATAAGATCCATGCAGGGCTATAAATAAAAACTATATAGAACAATGAATTAAAAACATTATTTCTCGAAAAAAAAAAAATAATAAATTGGTTTCGATAAGTTAATTCTGCAACTGTTACCTGATATAAGTAATTATTACCATTATAGTTTTTTAAAAAGGAAAATTGGAACTAAATTACAAGCAAAATGTTAACTAGTAATAATAACAAGTAATGGAAAATCTAAACTATCTTCATAATTAAATTAGAATAGAAGTTAGATATATATATATATATATATATATATATATATGGATCTAAACTACATATCCACTGGTTTCCTGTTTCTTTTTTTTTTTTTTTTTTTCATATTTACACTCTCGAGTTTTATGAATAACAGTTCAACATTTAAAATAAGGTGAGCTCAAATGATTATAACCTACAGATTAAGAATGAGTAATCTCAGTAACTGTATCAGTCTAGTTGATTATTATAGCTGTGTTATGGTGGGAAATAGAATCAGTCAATTTGAATATAACTTATCATTATAAAAAATGTAAAGTAACTTAACCTACCTGGAGTACTTGATTGGGCTGCATTAAATTGGAAAGGTTGATTTGTTGGTGCACCACTAGAACCAGCTCCAAACTGAAATAAACCACCTGAACTTTGCTGTGGCGGTTGTGGAGCAGTGAAGTTGAAGGTTCCCGCCTGAGCTGGCTGTGAGGCTGGTGCATTAAAGGTGAAAGGTTTGCTAGCTTCCTGGTTTCCAAAAGTTGTAGAAGCTCCAAAAGCTGGTGCTGGTGTTGGAGCTGCACCAAAAGCAGGTGTAGACCCTGGCACTGATGTGCTTCCAAAAGTATTGGTCGAACTGCTGCCAAAAGCTGGAGTGGATCCAAAAGCTGGAGTAGTGGTGTTTTGGGTGCTGAAGGTATTCTGGGTACCAAAAGCTGGAGTACTTGATGTCTGCCCAAAGGTAGAAGAATTGCCAAATGTTGTTCCTGACTGGCTACCAAAACTAGGCTGGGCCTGATTTCCAAAAGCTGGAGTTGCTGCTGCACTATTTCCAAATGTTGAAGTAGATGAAGAGCCAAATGCTGGTACTGAAGAACTACTGCCAAAAGCTGGTGTACCTCCAAAAGATGGGACATTGTTTGTTCCACTAAAACTTGGAGCACTAGGGCCAGCTGAGGAAGCACCAAAAGGTGATGGATTGGTACCGGTGGCAGTAGTCGCACTACTAAAAGTATTACCAACTGTAGTATTACCAAATGCAGAACCAGCCCCGCTTCCAAATGTAGACATGTTTGCATTAGTACCAGTACTTCCAAAAGTTGGGTTATTAGACACTCCAGTAGTTGAGCCTCCAAATGTAGGCTGAGAAGTTCCGCTTGAACTTCCAAATGCAGGAGGATTATTATTATTGCCTGCAGCAACACTGCCAAAAGTTGGAACAGTACTACTACCAGTCGAGGTCCCAAACGCTGGAGTACTAGTGATTGTGCTACTATTTCCAAAAAGTGATGGTTTATTAGTCTCATTTGTTGTGATGTTACTACCAAAAACTGGGGCATTAGAGGTTGGATTTCCAAATGAGGGTTGATTTGGCACATTGCCGAATACAGATTTAGGAGCTTCTGTGCTTCCAAATGTTGGAACTGTGGAGGTTACTGTGCTTCCAAATGTTGGAGCTGTTGAAGCCACTGTGCTTCCAAAAGTTGGAGCTGTTGAAGCCACTGTGCTTCCAAATGTTGGAGCTGTTGAAGCTGCAGTGCTTCCAAATGTTGGAGGAGCCGTTGAAGCCGCAGTGCTTCCAAATGTTGGAGGAGCCGTTGAAGTCACTGTGCTTCCAAATGTTGGAGGAGCTGCTGAAGCCGCTGTGCTTCCAAATGTTGGAGCTGTAGTGTTTCCAAATGTTGGAGCAGTTGTAGCCGATGTACTTCCAAATGTTAGAGCAGTGGAAGTCCCTGAGCTTCCAAATGTTGGAGCAGTGGAAGTTGCAGTGGTTCCAAATGTTGGGGCAGTGGAAGTTGCAGTGGTTCCAAATGTTGGGGCAGTGGAAGTTGTTGTGCTTAAACCAAAGGTAGGAGCTGCTTTACGTGTTGCATTACCAAAGGTTGTAGTTACAGCACTTGTATTACTAGTTTGAACAATACCAGCTTTGGCAGTACTGGATACTGAAGTATTAGTATTTTCTGAATTATTTCCAAATAAAGAAGCTGGGAATGTAGACTTAGTAGAATTAGAAGTTGAACCAAAACTAGAGGAAGTATTGAAATTGAATAAACTCTTTTGATCATTACTAGTTGTTACAGGTGCATTAAAAGTGAAACCGCCAGCACTGGAATCTTTTTTAGCAGAACTAGAGGAAAAACTAAATACCGGTTGCATTGCCGTATTACTTGTTGTTGCTAATGGTGTAGTAGAAACAGGCTGAGGAGCTGCAGTATTAGAAGTATTACCACTTAATCCTTTACTACTTGCTTGACCAAAAGAGAACCCTCCACTTCCAAACTGAAATTGTTTAGCTTCAGGCTTGCTGTTTGAAGGAGTAATCTTATTTTCTGGTTTACCAAAATTGAAGATATTGGATGCCACTGTTTCTTTTTTATCTTCTATAGAGGATTTAACTGGTTCAGATGGATTATTTTGAAAAGTAAAAACAGAAGAGTTTGATTCAGCTTTTTGTCCTGATGAAGTACTAGTTACTGCAGATAAAGATGGATTTGGAGGTTGTACTGCTGACGTTGCTGGTGTGATTGATGAAGTTACAGGAGTACTTAGTGTACTTCCAAAAACAGAATTTCGTTCCTCTTTGTTTTTATCTTTAGATGTATCTGATGTTTTGGGAGTCCCAAAAGTAAAAACAGATGAACTTGGGGCAGGTATAGATGCTTGAATAGGAGCTGAAGTATCTGGTGCCTTAAAATTAAACAGGCTAGAGCTAGTCACCTGAGGCTGCGAAACTGATGGCTCAATATTAGAATCAGACGATCCAACACCAAATTTGAAAGATGATTTCATTCCAGAAACATCCTTGTTCCCTGATTTTAATCCTAATTTATCATCATTAGCTTTGGGTGATGATTCTTGCTTCTTTTCATTGGTTGTCACTGCTTCTGATGTTTTTTCTGTTGATGTGGATGGTATGCCAAAAGTTATTTGAGGAGCAGATGCAGGTTGGGTAAAGGCATTAGGTAAAGTAGAAACAGATTCTAATGCACTTTTAGAGGTTTTTAAACCAAATGAACTCTTAGTTGTTGTTTCTGAGTTTATTGGAGTTGCAGCAGCTGACTGGTTTGCAGAAGAAAATGGTGTAAGTAAATTAGATGAAGATGAAACTTTGGATGGTGGATCAGGTAAAGCTGGAGGTACACTATTAATCGGTGACGTAACCATACTGTCAGATCCATTAGTAACTGATGTTGAAGGTTGAATATCAAATTTCTTCAATGCTGATTTTAAAATACCCTTTACATCAGAAACAACTTTCTCTTTGACTGGAGCTGGAAATAAGAAACAAAAAAAAAAATATGATAATTTTTCTACAAATTAAGTTCCTAAAATAATTTTGTCTAAGAAACTTAATTGAAGCACAGAAATACAGAAACAGGATTAAAGTGCCATCAGCGCAATGTTTTAGAATTCTAATTTCATATTAGAGAAATATGACTTATTGGAAAAAACACAAACATTTTTCTCAGATAATCTTTGATTGTATAAATATTAAAATCATCGTTTATGTAAGTAACTCTATACCTAGATCTGTAATCTGAAAAATCGGAACAAAAAAATTGTTTTATTTTACTGAATCAACTACAACCTTTTTTATTCTTTATATCTTTAATTATTAATATCTACAATAATAACTTTTATCAAATATGTATACATTTGAAAAAATATCAGACACAAATAATTAAATGAAATAACTAGCATATGTTGACAGTCAATAAACTGCAACTAATTATTAGGCCCAGTAACCTTCAATGATTTTAGTTTATTATTTCTGGGCTAATTGGATGAAGAAAATAGCTAAGAATATGGAAATGTGGAAAAAGTAAAGTAAAACACCTTTCCTTCCCCTAAAGGTTCAATATTCTATATTTAAAATTATTTAATCTCCCTTAATTTGAAAGATCTTTAATGAATAAAAAGAAGGGAGAAATAATGGTAAGACTGACTTTAGGGGGATACAAACATGGTGTTGTAAAATATATTTCAGTTATAACTTAAAGAAACATAAAACTGGAAATACTTGTTATTGCTGTTACAAAATCAATGCATTCATGTAAATCAATGTTTTGTTATTAATTTTTTTGATATGATCGTTACATTTTTATTATTATTAATTTTTATTTTTCATAAGTTAACAGTTTTTCATATTGTTATCTGGTGTTCTATTAGCGCTGACGAAGGTGTGAACTTTGGGCCAAAACAAAAATATCATTTATTAATTTTAATTTTTTTTTTTTACTGAACTCCCCAACCAACTGCTCTTCAAGTAGTATTTTATCTTGTTTTGCTTAACCCTGATAAAGGCCAACAACTTGGACCACAACTTTGTCACCTATTAAAAATTTCTGTATGTTTTTTTTCTTGAACCGTTGCCCACTGACTCTTACCAACTTCTCCTTGATTAATTTTGCACTCTCGTGTATGATTGCATCGACCATTGATAACTTTAATTTTACTAATTTTGATTAGTTTAACACTGGTTAATAGAATTTCCGTTGTACCAATGTTAATTAGCCTTAACAATGCGTTTAGCTATCATATACAGCTAATCATGTTAGACCTTGATCAAATCTTTAAATGATCTCAAAGTGTAACCTTATACACGGTTACTTCAAACAACAAACAAATATTTGCTTCTTCTGAGAATACTAGTGTACTGTTTTTGTTTTGTATGTTTTTCAAAAATGGCTACAATTATGATTTCATCTGAAGAAAGTTTATCATCAGATGAAGACTTATTTAATCTTATAAATCTGTTTTTCATTTTCAGAAAAATTGCTCCGTCTTTCTCTTTTTTCCATAGTCTTTACAATAATTAAAAAGCGATAATAAATAACCTAACACCTCATTAATTGTAAATATCAAAGTTTAGGAGCAAGTGGATGGAAGGTTTCATAATATAACCCAATAGTCCATGGTATAACAGACCCCTTTTTATCAAATTATTAACACCCTCCTGAAACTTCCTAAATAGCTTCATCTCATCGTAACCTATAAATATTTTATTTACGAAAATAGTCAGAATTGGATTGTTTTAAAACCGGAGATTTAATTACCTTTACAATCAACAGTTTTTATTATACATCATAAATAAGATGATGTAACACATTAACACCTTGTTAACTAATTCAGTTTTAAAATTATTTGGAGGAACTGGACCCAAATTTCAAAATTGGATTTAACGTGATTTATTTAACAGGTAATGTTAACTTTAATCACGACTGTTGGTGCAACCAGGCCTAGGATATCTTCACCATTTATAGAGAAAAAATAAAAACTTACATCTAGGTCTTGGCTCAGGAAGAGGATCAGTTTCTACTCCAGCATCTCTTGTCTTAGGAGGTGGTTTGGAGAGTTCGCTAGGTTTTTCTGTTTTCTCTTTTTTTTCTGTGACATTATCCTAGAAAATTATTGTGAAACCATTAATTCTTCAAAAAGGTTAATAAGTAATTACGAAAAAGAAAAACAAAAAAATTGAGTTTTTTACATATTTTAAATGATTGGTTATAATTATTGTTTGTATAGAATCTTCGAATATGTGGTCATTTATTAATTGCGATTATTATACATCATCAGTTTATTGCAAAAACTCATTAAGTGCCATTTCATAAAATTAAATCACTTTAATTTGATGAATTTCCAATATGTGAAGTCAGAACATAGTTCATTTACTTTAACTGTATTTCATAAATAAAATGGTCTAAGTCATATTGATGCACTTACTATGTATTATACCCACAAACAAGGAGGAAATTCACAAAAACAAACTTAAAACTTTAGTGCTATTAAAAATGTACTTAGTGACTTCTTTCTTAATCTGTATATAGTAGAGAGTTGATTAGTCCATTTCTATAAATGCAAAATCCTGGAAAAACAATAATATATAAAAAAAACAGTATCTATATCCAGAATAATGATTTTGAATAGTTCTGCTAACCTTAATACGCATTTACTTTGTTTAGATATGTTTAACCAAATTATAACTGAAATGACTACCTTATTTTGAAAAAATAAGGTATCCTATCTACCACTATAACAGTTCCCAGAGAGTCACTTTCCTTCCGCCTAATATTTTTATATTGATATTAAAATATTATCATATAAAAATGAGATTATTATTTAATACAATGACTGAGATATACAAAATGCATTTAGCTATCTACTCACCATGAGATAAATAATTACAACCCAAATGTAACGTAGATGGAACTGCAGGGCACATCAGCTTAATTATTATCATTAATCAAGTACTTTAAATGGAAGACAGTAATAAATAACTAATTATAGTTTCATATACCCATGTCAAAACAATTTAAATAATTATAGAAAGCCAAAAAGATAATAATAAAAAAAATGAAAACTTCAAGTTACAGTTACAATAAAAAAATAAAGTGAAACTCACTTCAGCAACAAGAGTCTGAACTTGGATTGCTATACTCTTCCTAGTTGATTTTTTTCTCTGAGCTAAGGAAAAGAGAAAAAAAAACATATATAATGTTATATATAATACAATCTTAGTACAAAATTACACAGTTCCACTGATCCAGAACAGAGAGGACCACGCCATATCCAGATCAATGAATTTATAAATTAATAACCAGATTAATAAATTAAACAGATCAGCTGTTAAATGCACATGGTAAATATTTCAACAATTTCTTCCTCTTAAATAAATCTTTTCTAATGTATTCATGGAAGAGGAGAAAAAATAAATAGTATTCTTATACCCAGTGAAAAAAGTCTGTAATGTTTTTACAAATTAAAAAGAGCCATGTAATGGTTAAATGTGCTTCTGTTGCCTAAACTGTCTTTCTCTGTAGACAATTTTCATCAAAGTATTGCTACGTTGGCTTTCTAAGGCAAGTGGATGTACCAGAAACAGCATTAATGCATTTATTCTATATTGCTATATATACTTATTTTTCTATCAGTTCCAGATAGGGACCGACCTATTAAAAATATACTACTTTCTTCTGCCATCCCAGCGATACAGTTCTTCCTTTCTTGCTTAGGCACTGCTCCAGAGCACCTCAATCCAAGCCTCTCCACAAGACAATCCTCAACAAGGGACTCTTCACCCAGACTGTTCTATCAAGTCTCCTCAGCTGACTGTTCTTCCCAGAGTCTCTCCCAGACTGCCCTTCTTCCATCAAAAAATATTTTTTATTTCAATTTCCTCCCCTCTTCTTGTTCGGGCTTTTCAATTGGTTGAATAATTGTAGTAAGTCGGGACTAACCCCCTTCCTTCTAATTCTTTCAAATTTGGGAAGGGGTTTCAGATTCTTTTCATCTTTGAAATAGTCCAAGTTTTTATCTTTATTATCCTCTATTTCTATTAGGAGGGTTGTCGTCAACATGCTTATATAGCCTAGCTGTGCCTCGGCTCAGGTATTGTCCTATTCAAAATTTACCTATGATGGAAATATCTACATGTTTCTTTACTCGACTGACCATATGATTATATAAGTGAGTATACTTAAATTAGAAACAAGCACCCACTATACATAGCAGCCTGTGTATTAGAGTAAGTCTAATAACTAAAAAGTTATTTTCATACTTTATGAGTCCATAATTAAATTTTTACTTCATAAATTATATTTTAATTCTATGAACCAGTGTCTGAAATATAAATGAAGTTTCACAAAGTTGTATGTTTGTTTACCTCATGAACATCATGTAGTATGCCATTACACAAAACACTATATATAATATATATATATATATATATATATATATATATATATATATATATATATATATATATATAATATGTATATATAATATGCAATTGCAAAAGAAGCAGCTAAAAGCGATTTGCCGCCATCGTATCATCAAGCTCCTTTATCGTATATTAAGAAGAATTTAAAGTTGGATTTCATCAAAAGATGGGATCACATATGGGTGACCTCAGCTAAGTCACCAAGCTTACACAGATACCACACATTTCAATTCACAATTACAGACACATTCACAGTAATGACTACAAACTTACGCAAGTACTTACGGAACATGAGAATACAAAACAATATCTTAAAAGATTCAACATTATACAAACAGACTTATGCGATGAAGACGGACAGGTTCAAAATTTTAAACATATAATATATGAATGTAAACGATTTGACAGCGGTGTAAACTACAATGGAGGAGACATACAAGCAACACAGAGTAGGGAAGTAAAATTGGATAAATTAATGTTTTTAGTCAGGAATTTGGGTTATAAAAAGAATCTTTCCAGGAAAGCCAAAATTAGACATTATGAACAGTCATAAAACCGGTGATATTCTATTGGCCAGAGACTATGGGATTTACCAATATGGAATCATTACTTAGAACAGAAAGAAAGATTCTGAGAATAACATACTGGCCGAGAAAGGTGGGAGAAGAATACCGATTAAAAAAGAACGATGAGCTTTATGTACAAATTGAAAATTTGGAATCGTCCATGAGAATAATAAGATTTTTTTTTTTTTTCGTGTTGGCCATGAGCACGTCGACCCCTAATGGGTCCATTGTGCGCCAATTTCAGTTGGTCGTTTTAATTAATCCTGATAAACGTTAATCCTGTCACTTCCGCGTATCCAAGTAGGCTGATTGGATTGGCCAACTCTGGGGAGATCCATTAGTTCCTTCCCAAATACCACCAGTCTCAGCCTTGTAAATCTATCACATCTGCATATGATGTGAAAAGCTGTTTCATTCTCCTCCTGACAGAACCTGCATAGCGGATTCGCCATTACTCGGAGATTGAACATATGATAGTTTAGCTTACAGTGACCTGTATAGGTTGCTGTAAGCTTCTTAAGGGCTGCTCACTCTGTCCATTCTCAGTAGCAGTTTACTTCTTTTTTCACATGCATCTTTAAGGAACAGCTTCGAATGTCGCTGTTTCTTGTCGGTCCAGTAATTACTAAATTTGTTCCCATACATCGCCCTGATCCTACCCTTGGCAGTGCTGAGGTTGATTCCACAGACAGGCTCGGGAGTTACAGGAATGGTATCTGAGCCCAATATAGTTAGTTCGTCAGCCACCTCGTTGCCTGGTATGCCCGAGTGACTAGGCACCCACTCCACTGCAACTCTATTGTGCTCAGTTAGTTTGTTAAGTGCTGTATTGCATTCCTTCCTGCATCCCTCCTGCATTGCAACGACCTTTGAATAAACATAATAGTTGGTTGTTAATAGCACTTATTGCTGCCTGACTGTCGGAATAGATAGTAATCTTTTTCCCAGTCACATTGCTTGGCAGTAGGTTTTGTGCGCAATGGCAGATTGCCAGTATCTCAGATTGAAATACTGAAGCATGTCTGCCAAGTGGTATAGAAATTTTTTCTTTGATGTCTTTGCGATAGATGCCTGCTCCAGAGCCAAAGGCTGTTAGAGAGCCATCTGTGTAGCAATTAATACCACTATTTGGTTTGTGTTGTCCGCTGCTATCCATCACAACCTTAACCTTATATTTTCGGTCCTGATATTCTCGGATTAGAATGTCAGAGTGCATAGCTAGTACTCTTTCACGTCCAATCCTATTCAGCAGTATTGTATATCCTCCTTGGCAGGGGACTGGTGAGCAGTATGTGACTTGCTTAGCCTGTATAATGTGTTTGTTGCCCGAGCCTCCACCTCCAGCTGCAGCGGTGTTTTGACCAAAATGACTCCAAGGTGTTTAACCTCCTTGCTCATAAGGAGATTAAGGTTCTTCGGGCATATGAAGAAAATGGATCGGAATAGGCTAAATAAACAAATATTTTTTAAGTAAATGGAGTGAAGAATAAAAAAGGTTAACCGGAACAAATAAAAGAAGTTATTAAAAAAATGGGTATCAAAGAGAATTACAAAGATAGGAATAAATTCGGGAAACAGTGAAAAATATGAAGATTTTTGCAGGAGATAAGAAGAAGTAAGCAATTGAGAAATGAACAGAGGAAAGGAGGGAGATTGGAGAAAAAAAGAAAAGAATATGGGAAAAAAAGAAAAAGACCTGGGAGTGATATTCACGTGGTCCATCGTTGACTTGTATCGGGATAAATAAACAAATATATATTAAACTTTTCATACAAGTTTTTACACTCACAAGTTTCTGTTCTGTTATAGATGGAATTAGACCAGTAGGGCTAAAACTATTTTAAAGTCAAAGTCAAAAGATATTTAAATTACTTACAATGTTTAAAAGTCTGAAGCCCAATGCTTGAACTAAGAGATGAAATGATTTCATTGTTAACAAAGTTGTAACTTTTACGAGGCCGTTTAGGATTTGAAACACTGGAAGTATCCCAATCCGGTTCTCGAGTTCTCTTCATTCGTTCATCTTCTCCGTTCAACCTTTAACAAAGAAGCATAGCTAGGGATGGTTTGAACATATTTTATTTCTAACAGCAGGATTTGCTTGAGAAAAAATTACAAATGGTTATTGAATAAAGGAAAGAAATAAATAGGCCTAATATTAGTTTTTTTTTTTTTTTTTTTTTTTTTATTTCAATGGAATTTACAACTGTATTACATAGAGAATACAATAAGTAAATGAGAAATATTAGTTTAATACTATTTGATAACCTTAGCATTTCTCCCCTGTTATGATGACAACGAACACAAATATTCTATACACTTCATTATCATCCACCTCGGAATGGATCTTAAAATCCTTGGATACACAGATGATAAGCTGTTCTTAGAAGTCAAGAGGACATTGAGAAACTCGCTAAGACTGATAAGAGAGGCAGAGCAAATTGGCCTACAAGTAAATGAAGAAAAATAAAATATATGATAATGAACTGAAAATTTCACCCCGATAACAGGATCTCCGTAGAAGAAAAATCATTTCCGAGAGCAGAAAAATTCAAATACTTCGGGTCCACAATAACCTCAATAAATGACCAACGGGCAGAAACAGACCAGCATATAACAGAGCATTCTTCTTTCTTCCAAAGGTATTTAAATCCCAAAAAATCTCAAATTAAGGGTGTACAATGCTATGATAAAGCCAGTTTTAATATATGGCTGTGATACCTGAACACTAACCAGCACCCTAGAAAAAAGTGTTGAAACATTTGAGAGAAAAATAAAATCCTCCTCACAATTACCGGAGCGATCTGGAATCGGAGTACTAACACATGGAGAATAAAGAACAATAAAGATTTGCTTACGGAAACTCGTCGATCAATGTCCCATGATATGAATGCATGGAGGTTAAAATGGGCAAGGCATGTAACTCGTAGCAATCCATCTGGAAGCCTCTACATAACAATGAATGCCGTAATAGAAGGTAAAAGACCACGGTGGAAGGTCAACAAGCAGATGGATAGATAGAATCAACAAAGATGCATCTATATTTGCGTGCAGATAAATGGAAAGAAATAGCCTAAGACAGGCAGAGATAGAGCAGGCTTGTTAAGGTGGTAAAAGATCTACATGATCTGTAATGGCAACAGAAAAAAAAAAAAAAAATTCTGATTTATAATAAAATAGTTCTGATTTCAATAAACAAAATGAATTAGGCCTTCTCACTCACTGTATGACATGATAAAAAACAGTATGATGAATAATTAACAACGTAATAAAAAATTCTAGTAAAATTATTACTATAATTAAAAGATTGAAACCTTAATTTTGTTAATGGAACTTGTTCCTCTTCTTCCCCTTCCAAACGAGACAGATACAAGTTATGTTCAGTACGACGCTTAGCTTGTGGTTGCCCATCGTCTTCTTCTTCTTCAGCCTGAAAACATAAAAGAATAATTCAAACTATAAATATATGTATATTGTAACGTTCCTCTTTCCCTCCTAAATCAAACAACGAGTTTCCTTTTACAATATACTATTTATTTTGACATATAACATAAATATCAGGTTGGGTTCTGACAACTAAACACTCATTCAACATTAAATAACAATAATCTACACTAATTTACTAATTACTAACTACACTTATATATAATTTAAAATAGTTTTATAAAATAATTTGTCCCGGTCTAAACTTTTGGTTCTATCACTCTGTCACATAAATGGCATTGTTAGCACTCACCCAAATGTTTACGCCTGTCAGCGAAATAATCTCTTCTTACTTACTAATGTCCCGTTTTCTGTACCACTTAATTCTTTTCTGCTATGTTTTTTTTCTTCCAACATAAAATAATCTCCACTAGTGGCCTTTATCAACACTCGAACCGGCTAGGACTCCTTTTTCACTTTCTCAGCTTGACACCTTCTTTCTTGAAAGCTTGTCACATTCTCTCTTGGCCGCTATTACCAGCCTCTTGGCGGCCCGTCACATTCTGAGTTACATGAGGCTTGCTTCCCCCACTTCCTCCCCGTAGTTCGTGCTGTTACCACTTTCGCGCCACTATTCAAATGCCATGTAATGTTGACATTACACTATATATATAAATATATGTGTTGGGGCCAAGGGGTTGGGGAGAGGCAGTACCCTTATCTAGGACTGACCTGGAGTATGGGTCCTCCCACTTCTCCTCCATCCCCAGGGGAACAGTCAAGAATAAGAACCGAAACCTCCAGAACATGCGACCTATGCGAAAACATTACCGAACACGACGGATCTCAACCGGGAGGTCATAAAAACATCCCTGGTAAGGGGCAGCAGCCTCACCAGTACTGACATGGGTCCGAAGAAAATACGAGACGAGTTGGATGGGCCCATGAACAGACAGACATCTATGGGCTAAACTGGAGACCTGGAGAACTGCGCCAGGACCACACCTTTTGAAGACTGCTGAAGATGGAGGAGTTCAACCGCATGGTGCAAATAGTCTAATCCCCTATTCGAGGTAGATGGAAAATAGGATTCCACGCACTTACTTCTAATTATGGCTAAAACTAGACGAAATGAAATCAAACGAGATGCTCCTCTTGTGAATTCAAACCGGGCAAGCGGAGCATCAGGCGCTACTCAGAAGGGCCACTTTCGAGCTACCGGTGGTAAGCTCCCTACCGGTTGTGCAGTCAGGCCCAGGGAGAGGAGTTCTGTTACTGACACTACCAACAAGAAACTGAAGAGCCTCCGAAGCATGCAATGGAATTCATCTCAAAACAACATAAAACTAAAGGAGGCAATTGCAAAACTGCGATATGAGCCAGCTAAATCGATAATGAAGGCCTGGTACGAAAAAACAGAGGGGCTCAACGTGGACAGAGAGGGAAGAGATTTTAGTTGATCATATATACCAGAGTGAAACTAAAAATATAAGTCCTGCAAGAAAAAAACAAGTGAGAAAGAAAGTAAAAGACACCCTACGTGTCAAAATCTAGGAAAGAGGAACTGGACCAACCATTCACAATACAAGAACTAAACAATGCTATCAGTTGCCTGAAACAGAAGAGTGCGCAAGAAATTGACGGTATCCTCATCGATTTTCTCATCCATCTGGGGTTTTCGAACCAAGAGGCGTCCCCTCTAGCTCTACAATACTACCTTGGAGGAAAGGAAAAGTACCTGAAGGAAGGAAGGAAGGGAAGAATGACCATCCCAGTATTGAAAGAAGGAAAAAGCAAAACTGACTTAAACAGATTTCGACTGATCAGCTTTCTTAGCTACATGGAGAAGCAACTGGAGTCTCGTGAACAACTGGCTTATGAAAAAAAATGACTTCATAGTTCCTGAACAGGCAGGCTTCCTCAGATTTCACTCTACTGAGGAACAAGTAGCCTACACTCTAATTTCAACATTATTGAGTAATGTCATTTTAGTGATATTTCTAGTTCGAAAAGTTATGTCTATAGAGACAGTAAGTTGATTCCAGAGTAGGTGCTTGCAATATTGAAATATGGAACTGAATAAAGGTATAAATTTTGCCACTAGAAACATCACTAAAATTAATAATAAAGAATGTTGAAATGGGAGTTAGTCATCCTGTCAATTGAAAGGCTCATATGTATAAGCCCAGAGATAATTGAAAGGGCATCTGAATATTATACCTATAAACCATTATAGATTTTTAGAACTATTAGTTATTAAATTGTTATTTTCCATTGTAAAGTTTACTAAAATAATATTATGAGATTTTCATTGCCTGACATGGATAGGTCATAAGTTGTCACACTAATTGTAAGTGGATAATGTTGGAATTTCACAAATGGAAAATTCACCAAATTATTCACTAATTTAATTTTCTAATAGGTTACTTGATGATTTTTTTGGAATAAACGGCCAATAGATACCTAATTGTTTAAATACAATATCATATCTAGAGTTATTAAACTACAGTAAATGTATTTAAGGTTATAAACATATCCATGAAATATTTTTATATTTCACTTCTTTTTACAAAATCTTCCAAATTTTTAAGGGCATTTTTAATTCACTAATAAAATTAATGATTGCGAGGATATAACTTTATTGCACCATTTCATCTATTTTCCATGCTTCCATTCATTTTTATTTTTTTCGATGAAGTTTAAGGCAATTTTGCCCATTTTCAAGTCAAAATCTATCATTATCCTATCCTCTATGTTATATAATTGTTACAAAATCTTTTTTCATTCTTATCCTCATATTCCTCCCATATTAATGTCATAACTATATATGAAAAGTCCATTCTTTGAACACGTCACACCAATTAAACATTTTTTTTTTAAATGTCTATCGAATGCTATACATTTTGTCCTAAATATATATATAATGTATATAATATGATATTTATATAATATATTGATTATGTATATAGGACGAAATTGTATAGCAGTCGATGGAAATTTTTTTTAAAAAATTTGTAACGTGTCCAAAGAATGGACTTTTCATTAATAGTTAGGAAATTAATATGGGAGGAATGTGCGAATAAGAATGAAAAAAGATTTTTTAACACTTATATAAAAAATAATATAACATAGAGGATAGAATAATGATAGATTTTGACTTGAAAATGGGCAAAATTGCATGAAACGTCATAAAAAAATATATAAATGAATGGAAGCATGGAAAGGAGATGAAAGGGTGCAATAAAGTTATTTCCTCCTAATTTTATTAAAATTTCACTTCATTTCTCACACAAGTACAATGAAATATTAATTTAAACAATGACATTGGCTTGATTCGGTCTATTTTAATTAAATACTTCTTTCAAACTTAAAAAAAAATTTTAATGTTTACATTTAGTAAGAAAATTTTTTTTTATATTAGAAATGTTAATTAACATTTATGTTGGTATAGATCTCCAGTGGAAATGAAAGCTTAGCTGCATTCGGAACCAATATTGAACTATTTGGAATTTTAAGGAAGAAAACCCTATTTACAAAGGAAGGAGCTTTTTTTTTAAAAAACAACCAATATTTACAATGAATCTGGTTTTGTTTAATGTTCAACTTTGAGTTGATCATTTTATGGCAAATAAAAATGTAAATTTTAGTTGTTCAAACTCTTAAATCTCGTTTGAAAGTTCTTCACCCATTGCCTTGAAATTTTGGCTTAACGTTGCATTTAAATACGCGGGTGGTTTAATATAACTACTAGTATAAAATATAAGGTGAAACTATACATATTTATTAAAAACTTACGATCAGTTGGATGTAAAAGCAACACATGCGTTTCAAAATATTTTATGATACTGTTTCAAAGTTAAAGATTTTTAAATATCAATCGTGGTAATGTATTGAAATTGTATTATACCATTTATCATAGCGTTCATTTTGTGTGCATTAGAGCTACCTTCCACCTTCCTCAAAAGATCTCGCATACCCCTCCTAAGATAGTTGATTGCTTGCTTCTTCTTAATAACAGCTTGATTAAATATAGAGTTGTAAAAATTGTAGTGGAAAAATAAACCATACTCATGAAAGAAATTCTACCGTAAACGGCACAACTTTATTCCAAAGTAATGTTAAAGAAAATTATTTATTAAAAAATAAAATAAACTGAAATCAATAAAAAACTGATTTCTAAAAGGAACATAAAGGGTGAAAAGTATTACTCAAGAGTTAAATCTTTTAAAATAATAGCAAATCAAATATTTGAAATGTATGATACTATTTCCAGAATACATTGGGAGGAAAATAAAAAATGAATATAAAGAGCGTATAACAGTATTGAACTACATAAGGAGAATCATATCAATTCTTCAAATGATAATGTCAATTACTGTAGTTATTATAAAATTGTTGATAAATCAATAACAAATAAAAAAAAGAAATGGCCTTTTCTGAAGAGAAAATAGTAAATGTTTAAAACTCTATAACTCTGCAACAAATAGTCCGATTTCGATGACTTTTTTTTTTATTTTGTTGGCAAATCAGAAATCTTTCAAATAAATATAGATATTATCAATCAAAAATTGTGTACATTTTTAGCTATTGGCAAATAAAATATTGAATTCATCGCAACATTTTTTCAGCTTGTTTTCGGGAAAGTATGTTATAGACATAAATTAAAAGGGTTTCAAGGAGAAGACTTCAGCCAAGTTTCCTTAAAATCATTAAAGCCGTTATGGCGCAACAGTTTATAGCGACACATTTTTTTTGCAGTTTTGAACAAAAAAAAAAATTTATATTCATATTTTCTTACATATATAAAATTATCGTAAGACAGAGGTACTATGCCAGAAACCTTCGCAGGAGTATACACAAGAACTTCCCAAAGTTTCATGGCGGTCGGATCCGTGGTTTAGCAATCCATAAAGGATAAACAGACAGACATACATTCATTTTTATATATATATTCATTATATATATATATTAAATAAACAGATTACTTACGGCTAAGCATCTTTTTCGAGCAATTTCTTTAAGAACTTGAATAACTGATTTTGTAGTTGAAGATTCATCAAGCATTGATGAGTTTTCTATGTTTGAGTTTGAAGCAGAAGTATCACTAAAATCATAAGAACGTATAATTTTCCTCATATAAATAGACAGCTATTCATGCATAACAATTAATAATAATGGTAAAAATAAGTACCATGAAGGCTCATTACATTAATAATGAAACTTTATTATAAAAAATTGTAATGAACTCAATATTATGCACTAATTAAAAGGCTACGTTCCAAAACTAGCCAATTCTAGTTTCAACTTTTTTTTTTAAATTAATTATTTTGTTATTTGATTATTGTAAGTTGAAAGATTTGCTTCTAAAAGCAGTTGAATCACATCTGATTATATGTGGTCTTCATAATGAAGTACCAACATTTGAAAGAAAAAAAAAGTTATAAAAAATCATAAATATAACAAAAATCGTTTTAAAACTCTTATACTTTGTTGTCATAAAACTCCAACAACTATTTTCTAATGCACTACTAAAAATTCATTGACTATTAATACAATCTTAATATGGTCTATTTAAAGGGACACAAATGCCATTAAATAAAACTGATAGATCAATGTATATTAAACTAATAGTAAATGATTATTAACAAAACCAAGTTAAGAATTACATGTAAACAGTTTTACATATAAAGTAATGAGTAGAAATAGCAATGGAAGTATATCAAAATTAGAAAGATAAAAATTAACGTTACCTTTTATTTGGTTTACTCAATCTAATTCGAACTCTACTCCTAAATGATGAATTAGCATTTGTGGAAGGTGAACTGACTTTTGTAACAGGTGAAGATGCCCTATGGGAATCAGAAAGTATCATCGGTATTGATCCATTGTATGCTATCCAAGGGAATTGATCACTGTCCATTTGGTTAGCAACAGTTATCATCCGGCTAGAGAAAGAAGAAGGACTCATTCTGTAAATTAAAAAATGCCTACAGTACTAATAACTAATAGTATTATAATTTATTATTTAAAGACTAATTTAAAAGTTAACTTGCAACTCATGCTTACAGTTAACTGTAAATGAGGAGTTTAGAAAATAATTTAAAAAATGAAACATCCTCTATCTCAATGTGAGAGAGTATTGATTTAGATTTTTTTTATTTTAGCCAACATTTTATGCTCAGCAATTAGTTATTGTTTTTTTTTTTTAACACAATAGTCCATCACTAGCTGGTACACACTAGTCAGTTACAGAACGCAGAGCTGTGGAAAAAAGGGTATATACAAATATCGTGCAAAAGTGGAAGAGCCTCATGGTCAGCTCTTAATGACTGGTGAAGGTATACTGTTTAAACAAATATTAATACAATGTAGAACAGTTTCATATTGAGATCAAAGATGAAAGAGGCATTTTAATCACACCATGAAGTGACTAATGCATTTATTAAACTACTGTGTCATTTCATAAAGTCCGTTAGAAAAATTAAGTGTAACAGAGAATCTAAACGTGCTAAAACAGCAATGGTTGTTTGTGTATGTGTGTGTGTGATCGCAAATGATTGTTTTAAAACAATGAACTGGAGCTCAAAGTGATCCCTATTAATTTTGGTCTGGGATGTCTGAGATTCATTCTGTTGCAGATCTATTAAAAAAAAAAATTGAACTACCTTCGGTAATAAATTAATTTTGTTTATAGAAGAAGATCCAGCACCCTCCTTCAGGATAACTAAATATGGATGTTAAAGTTAAACTTAAGATGACAAGCTTTAATACAACTTTGATTCATGTCCGTTTCACTATAGAAAGAACACAAAACAAGTCTAACTGACACGGAAGACTGATCTGCAAACCTTAAAAGCAAATTGTTTATGTTTAGTTAGGTTGCTCAGCAAAAGTTTTCACTACAATGACATAATTTTAGATATAAATGACAGAATGAACTGTCTTATTGAAATGCTTATCAGCTGTTCAACTTCCACTCCTACCTACCAAATAAACATAATTTAATATTTCCAACCAACAATAAGTAACATAGCCAGTGTTCTTTCAAATTATCAAGCACAACCTACGACCCTAGGAATTAAATAGTAATGATTATAACACAACTGCAGAAAAAAAATTAAATTTATATTTTATCTATAATCAAGAAGTGTGTTTTACACAATCAGAAAAAAACACTAAGAAACAACTTTTTTCATTATCTTCTTATTTTTCTTTTTTTTTATTAGGAAGCCTATATTTACAATTTTTTCATAATGTACATTTTAGACATGACATTTGTATATAACATGATTGTCAAAATTCGGCTACTTTCGGTATTGTATTTACAGTATACTTGAAGTGATCTTGAAAGCAGCCACCAATTTGGGTAGCAATTCGCTACTAGCTTTAACTCAAGAAATGAACAAACAATTAAGATTATTTACCTATAAAAATTTAAAAGTAAACTTTATAGAATTTCAATTTAATATTATAAAAATACTAATATTATTTGATGATCATCTGAGGAGAAACATAGATTAAAGTAACCTAGCATGAAAGGTTACAATTAATTAAAAATTTATTATTAAATAAAATTTGAATAACTAGACATGAAAAATTTACAAGAGCAAAAGTAATTTATTGACTAATTGAATTGGATTGTTAGTTTCTAAGTAAGAAACCGATGATACTATTATTAAACCATTACACAACCAACTTCTCTAATTAAATCCTAATCTTGAATCTACAAATTAATCTATGATCGATTGTAGCAGCTATAACTTTATTTATGTATTGGTCAGGAGCCTCGATGAAGTAACAAAGATTATTAACTGTATTATAAAGAAAACTAACGTACTTCAAGTACGGCAGGAAAGGAGCATTATCTTCAGTTATTAATCATAATGTGGAGATTAAGAGTAATCCAGCAGATGATTGATAAAAAAAAGTAAGATCATTCTAAGCTCGAGCATCATAACTATTAAAACATGAGCTATCAATAACTATAAAAGAACTAAGGATAAAAAGCATAAAATGTTGTGGTTAAACATTGATGAATCAATACTCAACTAAAATATACAAAATGGTTAACTTAGCAAACTAAAAATAATGACAACACAATTGATATTATTCTCGGTATAAGTTATCACCACATATGATAAATAAAAATAATTGAAGAAGCCAAAAATAAAAATATATATATTTATAACAGTTGAAATGCAATTTTTTAAGTACTTACTCTTCACAATTTAAGCTCCTTATCGATGAATCTGGTGTATGCTGTGTCTGTGATGGAGAATTGTTTTCCAATAATAATAATCTTGATTGATTAAGGCTACGAGGAGAATTATGAATACTGGATTGAGGATTTATATTAAATCTTTTAGAATAACTAAGAGGTGTTGAACGAAATGGAGATGTACCTGACCTTATAGGAGAGGGCATATCATTTTCAACTGAAGAAACTGTTTGTTTAGAAACATAATTTTCATCACTTTGAAGTTTGGTAACTTTAGAATTTGTTCTATTAGGAGATCTAACAGAGTGGTTTTCTGATAGAGACGTATTAGTCTTTAAACTCGGTCTAGAACGACCTAATCTTGAATCATAATTACTAAACAGTCCAATACCTAATGTAGATTTATTTCTTTCAGGAGTATTCAAATTTCTTTCGGAATTCGACATATCTACTCGTAGTTGTCTATAATTACTTTTTGAAATATCACTCGAACTTTTAACACTTAAAATCAAAGGAACTCTAACAACTTGGCAGAGTATTATCAACAAAATAACGATTAAAAGAGTTAAAATAACACTAATGCCAGAATGAAAGTATAAGATTACATTAACAACAAAACATATAGCTATGGCGTAAAACAATATTGACATAATTTGCTTGAACTCATTTTAGAAATGAAACTTTATTAATACAACCAGTGACCAAAAACATAAACACTGGGGTGGCCTTACAACACATGCGGCCAACGAACATATTTAAAGATAAGTCACACCGCTGACTTAATCGAGTAACACGAGAAATGATAACAAATCCAATTTACCGTTTAGATATTTCAACCAACAAACTATGAGAAATACAAATATCTAAATGGCTAGTATAGTATAGTATTTTTTTTCTCGTTTTTGATATTTTCTATCGGCTTTCGGTATCAAGAGAAATAAAGTAAATAGTATCGTTTCGCATTACTGTCGCTGTTAATAACGTTAGATAATAGTGAGTCACATTTTAAATGAATGAATTTGGGAAATGAATAAACCCATCTTTACATATTTAATTATTTAAATGTAAAATCAGTGCCGACCTTGGAGTTGGGCAACCAGCCAGATGCCCGGGGGCGCCTACCTGGAGGGGCGCTGATCATCAAGGTGTACACCACTTGTTAGGAAATGGTTTAGGAATAAAAAAAAATAAAAAACGTATTAAAATAATTAATTCTGCCTGTTAATAAAGCAACAGTGTTAGAGAAATATAGAATGAAATCAAATTCAAATATTAAATATTATATAACAGCTTAACAAATAAATTTAATTTTTTTTTAAGGAGGATTATCGCCATGAGGCGTCGAATGTCTAAGGCCGGCACTGTACAAAATAATAATAATACTTAGTAATAATAATAACGGAAACAGTAAAGATATAAAGGTATAAACAGATCACGTAAATGTGTAGGGCCCGTAACGTCTGGAATTAGGGATGATAATAACAATCTTCTGACCGATCCGGTTGACGGTTGACATATTGAATAAGTTTAAGGACCACTTTGATAATATTTTAAATACGGGAAATTATGATCTGTGTCATCCTTCTGAGTACCAGAGTGCTGAACCGTTAATAGAAGGACCAAGTAAAGAGGAAGTTGAAGTAGCTATCGGAAAATTAAAATCTTATAAAGCAGCGGGAACCGATAATATTCCTATTGAACTAATTAAGGCATGCGGGGAAGCTGGAGTTTCTAAAATACATCGGTTGGTTAAAAAGATCTGGGTGAACGAGAAATTACCTGAAGAATGGAAAAAAATCTATTCTTATTCCGATTCACAAAAAGGGTCCGAGGACGGATTGTAATAACTATCGAAGAATTTCACTCCTTCCAGTATGTTATAAAATATTCACTTTAATCTTAACCAGTCGAATCACGTAATATGCCGAGGAAATTATCGGAGACTACCAATGCGGATTTAGACGGAATCGTTCGACTATTGATCAAATATTTTCTTTACGGCAAATATTAGAGAAAAAATTGGAGTACAACGGTATTTTTCACCAGCTGTATATAGATTTTAAAAAGGCTTACGATTCTATTGACCGCCAGAAACTGTATAATATTCTAATCGAACAGGGGATTCCAAAAAAACTAGTAAATCTAGTCAGGATGTGCTTAACGGAGACACTCAATAAAGTTAGAATCGGTAATAATCTGTCCGAAAAATTTGAGGTTTGTTCGGGTTTAAAACAGGGGGATTCACTTTCGCCTGTCCTGTTCAATTTGGCATTAGAACATGCCATTAGGGAGGTAATGCGTACCGAGAAAGGGTTGGATCTGGGTGGGACAAAATCTGGTACTGTTAAGCGAAGACGTTGAAACTATAAAACTAAATACGACAACGTTAATAAAAGCCGGTAAAGAACTAGGACTCGAAATAAACGTGGATAAAACAAAATATATGGTTAGCTGCAAAAATGGCGATACTACTGGTGATATCGATATAGATGGTAATATGTTTGAACAGGTAGATAAATTTAGGTATCTTGGTTCTACGATAACTAGAAAAAACGAAATTGAAGAAGAGATTAAGGTTAGACTGAAGGCGGGAAATGCTTGTTATTTTTCTGTGACAAAACTACTTAGTTCGCGTCTCTTGCCCGGAACTTAAACATTAGAATCTATAAAACAATTATCTTGCCTGCAGTTCTTTATGGATGCGAAACTTGGTCGCTTACATAAAGGGATGAGCAGCGTCTTAAGGTTTTTGAAAATAAAGTATTGCGTAGAATATTCGGACCGAAGAAGGATGAGTTAACCGGAGAGTTCAGACGGTTACACAACGCCGAATTGCGTGTACTGTATCCGGGTAATATAATTGAGGTAATTTCATCGCGGCGAATCAAATGGGCTTGTAAAGTTGTTGGGCTTAGTAACGAGAGAATTCCTAAAAGGTTAATATTTGCTGTGCCGAATGGTAAGCGTCCAAGGGGTAGACCGAAGCGAAGGTGGGAAGATTGCATTAAAGCCGATCTGAAGGGACTGGGTTTGGACGACGAACGGTGGAGGGAGGTGTGTAATAAGCGATTGGTGGTGTCGGCATCAAACCTTCGGGTTCGCTAAGCCTTTTATTATTAGTAATAATAATAAAATTAAGCACTCAAAGAAATCGAAAAAAGCCGGACAATAATTGTCACAGAGAAGGCGAATGTAAATTTAATCATAATATTTAAAGATATGTGTAAATAAAATATTTATCAGTAATTATAGAATGTAAATACTTTCAAAATAGTTTGGTATACATAATCAAGGGAAAAAAACCTAATTTTTTGTAAAAAAAAAAAACTAAAATGATAAATATAATGTTCTGGTGTTTTTGTTTTATTTTAAAAATAATTATTTTAAATTGTGTTACCTTTCATCTTATTTTTTTTTTATTCAAAATATATTTGAAAGTATGTATTTACATTGTATATTTTCAAATAAACCTTTTATTTACAAATCATGATAAAATTTACACATTTCTTGCCTGATACACTTTTTGAACATCTCCTCTGGTCCTGGAAAAACACCGTACAGCGGAAGAGGCGAGGAACAGGAGACAGGTAAAAAATAAAAAAAAATCATTACAGGTAATGAACTGACCACGGAATTACTCCTTTACTTACCGTTTATTTATTATTTTATGTTTGCCATTAAATCACTCCCTCTTCCAATGCATTGAATACTGTTATGTCATACCAACCTTCGTTCTCCCCCTCTCTAAAAAAAAAATATTTTCTAGTGCTGGGGCCTATGTTTGGATATAAAGTCCAATACAAGGAACTGTTTACGATATCTTCATTAATATTGGTACTTTTTCCCCTTTACTTTGTATGCAATTACCTTTCATATGATCAAGCACAAAGTGTATACTTTTTTATTGTACGTCACAATGAAAATCGCAGTCTGGATGTTAAGGCTCCTACACACAGAACGCGATATGTCCCGGCAATACGATGTCGCTGCGGATTATCACACTTTGTGTAGCGTCTATTGCACAATAGATATAATACAACTATATCGCCATATCGCCGCCGACAGGAATAATGTATCGCCGAGACATATCGCACTCTGTGTAGGAGCCTTCATTCAGCCTCCTTTCTCTACTTCCACAACAAACAGAAAGCCCAGCCGCAGTGCAGTAACTATCTGATCACGTTAACTGCAGTTAGCAAAATGAACATACCACACCACCAGTTCTATTTCTTCTTGTTGTTTCTTTTCGTTGTTGGACCAGATATCTTTGCAGTATTTTATTTTTGGATAAATATAGTTTCCAGTAGTCAAATTCCAATAACGATATAAATAATATAGACCAAAATATCTAGTTTTTAAACAAATGAATTGCTACTTTTCAAACATCCTTACTCTGAATACCCAGGTACTTATTTTCATCAAGTACTTATTTTCAACTTTTTAAGCCTCTTCCGAGAGCTCTCTGATGAGTATTATTCAGGCACTGGCTCCGTTTGGTGTCCTCGGCTGGAGTCCGAAGTGAGGCCCCCTTGTCAGGACATTTAAATCCCTGAAATCCACTTTTATGGGATAGAATAGATATATCATCTCTGTTCTGGGACAACGCCCCTTAAGAATAATAATATTGTTCATATAAATTAACATTACATCGGACAAATACATTTCAAAGATCTAACAAATAAATGAATAACTGAAAAATAAATATTAAAACAGGTAAAAACAGAGCTTAAAGATATATTAATAAAAGCAGGTGAACAATAGGATCTCAATATTACAATATCGCTGCTTAAGAAAAATAAAATAAATAAAGTAGGAAAGGAACATCAAAATAATTTTATGAGAAAACAAAAAAATGAAAAAAAAAAAAATAAAGAAAAGTAAGTAAAGAAAATAAATTATTTATATCTGTTACTTAAGAGCTTTGAATGAATAATCACCTCTAATAGATCCAGGATTTAGTTTTGGTGGTGGGAGGCTTCAGCTCGCAAGCTTATATGTACATGTATAATAATAACTACTTTGGAAAAAATAAATAAAAAACTAATTACCAATATGAAACGGTGTTTAATTAATTCTTGAGCTCCAAGTTGCATCAAGTGGTAGTAGAATGTTTCTTCTTTTTTTTCGTGTATGGAATGTGACTAAAATGTAAAATCCAAATTTTTCTTCTTCGGCGGTCCCCCGCACTAGTGGATCCAGGATTTAATTTTGGCAGGAGCTTCAGCCCGAAAGCTTTTTTTTTCATATTTATATATAACGATAATTAATTTCAGAAAAATAAAGAAATTAATTACCTATATGAAATGGTGTAAGTGGTTTTTGAAGTCCTATTAAATGTAATTACACGAACAAGAATACTTTAAGAGATAGTTTTTAATATTTTTTCCGTAAAATATGGTTATATTTTACCATTTTGGGGGGCTTCAGTCCCCTTTCTCCATTATTCAATTTAATATTAAAAGGAGAGGAAGTCGTCTCTCTTCTCAATCAGACGAATGAAACTGAAATACAAAATTTATTTAGATAACATTTACATTAGGTTTACACAAAAAGTGTAAATGAAAATAATGAAAGTGTAAACGAAATGTAAATCAAAGGTATTTCCTTCGCATCAAAGGACCAGGTCCATGCATTTATCTTCAGTGCCATCTTCACCCTGCAATTACGGAAATGGAATGAAAATATTTGTTTGTTGAATAACCCAAGGTAAAACCTCGTCAATAAGTCCTAATTTAATATTATATTATAATATTTAATACAGTATTAATTGATGCCATGAAAGAGGTGGATTGGAATATTTGCTTAATCCTATTTCTTCGAATCGGAGAAAACATCTTTAATTCACATTTATTTTACACTTTTATTCACTTCTTTTACAATTTCTGTATACACTTGATATATATAGAATGTTTGCTAAATAAATTTCGTGTTTCAATTTCGGTCGTCTAGTGGTAAACAGTGAATTTCCTTTTGATTTCCTGACGTTGTTAGATATTAAAAAGACAGTCTGATTTTTTTTTTAAATGGCAGAAACGCAATGGGCATACCAAACATTTATTTATCTGGATCTGCTCATGATTATTGTTTAGTAAATTTTACAAATTATTTTTGCTTTTATTTATTTTTTTAATATTAAATCCTCCTTTATTGCTTCTAGTAACAACTAAATGCACTATATTACCTTCACTATATTTGAGAATACCTCTAAAGGTCTGTGGCATGGACCCTTTCAAAGAACAGTGAGTGGGAGCTTAAAATTTTTTTTAAAGAAAAGTTCTAAGAAAGTTGCTTCCGGCAGAGCAGCTCAGCAGAAAAAAAAATCGTTTATCAAATAAAATTAGAAAGTAAATTATTCATCATCCTGATTGGTTAATTTAATTTCTAAAACATTTTTTGTGACGTCAAATGTATGTTCGTATTCAAGAACATTAGAATAAGAATTAAAATTTTCGAGCCAAGCAGTCTGAAATAATTTTTCTTGTTTCTCTCAAACTTTTGGAATTGTAGACGACCGTGCTTAGTTTCTTGACAAGTTAATGTCGATTGTGGCCGAAGTCTGTCAGTTCGGAGCAACAGTTTATCAACAGCAGACTGACTTTACATCAACTCTTAATGTAGAAAAAAAAAGAGCTAAATATAGCAAAATTTCAAGCCTCCTGACATAAGTAAGTCTTTACTTTTAAAATTTAAAATTTTGAATTTTAGTCTTCAATTTTATAGCAGACATAAAGTTGTCTTTTTTAAGTTCTTTTCCTGAATCCAATAATTTCATGATTTCTCAAATCAGTTATTCAGTCTCTTGAAAGCCCCTTAGAATGTTTTTTATGAAGGCAACTTCTATTAGAATTCAAAAGGATTATTGCCTAATTAACATGCATTTATTGATAATTATCTAAATGGTATATTTTTTTTAATTATAGTTTTCATTAACAAAATGGAAAACAATTACGGAAATCACGTTAAAAAAATATAACTTAAATACCTAGCTTTGTGCAAATCAAATATATTCTCCCCCTATTTCGCATTATTTACGAGACATTTACGAGTACGATGAAAAAATTATCTGCAGACATAATCCCCGTTTCGATCCTCAAGATACTTGAGCCTTCTTTAAATCCGCCGCAATTTTTAATTCAGCGGCTCTGGAATGGCAGCTATGTTTCATTTTATTTACAATAACATACACTTTCGTCATTAACGTTCAAACCTTTTCTTTTGAGGTCAATAGAAGTATGGCATTGGTATTGTAAGATATGACTTTGACAAAGCTACCTATATACGCTGAACTTTTTGGAAGTATTTTGCGCAATATTACACGTTTTGGGTTATTTTGTAGGATATTTATATAGATATTTTCTTACATGAAATTACACGCTTAATATCAAAGTTGAAAAATTAAAAAAATTATCTGGTTTTAAAAAAAAATCCTAACTTATACAAACTTAGGAATTACCATTTTCTCTCATGAATTTCTATTTTACATCTTTTTGAGATATTTCTTACGTGCTTCCTTCCGATCTCTTCTCCATTATGAATTTTTAAATTTTAAAATAGTCCAAACAGAGCTTTTAAAGTGAAAAGACATATTACAAAATGAGTAGATTTTTTTTTTAAAAGTCTTTTACAAAATGTGCCTGGCTAGAAAACTACATAGTCTATGAAAAAAACATTCTATCTGATAGATAAATTGATATGCATTGTGCTGCAAGACACGGGCGGATCTACAGGGGGAGAGGGGCTTTCGGGCTGAAGACCCCCCAAAATAGTAAAATATAACTATATTTCATAAAAAAAAAAAAAAAAAAAACTTAAACAATTATCTCTTAAAGTATAATTGTTCGTTTAAATACATTTAAAAGGGCTTTAGGGATCACTTAAACACCATTTCATATAGGTAGTTAGTTTCTTTCTTTTTTCCCAAAGTAACTATCGTTATTTTTATGAAAGAAAATCAGCTTTCGGGCTGAAGCCCCCCATCCAAAATTAAATCGTGAATCCGCTAGTGCTGCAAGAGTACCCTACTATTTTATTTTAATTAAAATAATATATGTATATGTATATATATATATATATATATATATATATATATATATATATATATATATATATATATAATTTTTACATTACACATACAACTAAAATGTAGTAATTAATTTCGCAGAGCAGTTCATCCAGCAATAAACAGCCAGTAAGTGTGCCTTGCGTTTTTGAATAGTCTCAGCAACCATACCTTTATGAAGTTAAACAACTTTTATTATGCCTAAAAGCGCGTTTAAACATTTCACGAACAATGGGAAACACAAATATTTAAACTTTTTTTTCCATATCCTGATGTTTTTGTTTCATATTTTTCAACTGCTGTCGGTAACAAAAGAAATAATTAAAAAAAAAAAGGCGTAATGTCAGTTAGTTGTGTTTCTTATAATTTGTGAAATGTCAAAACGCACCTCCTGGACTACTCATTAACTTTATCGTTTATGAAATTTTGTCCCTAAAATTGTGCTCTGTATATGTTTCATAAGCTTCTATTGCTGACTTTTAATTATTTTTATTAAATCTTTTTGATTGATTACGCAGAATTTAATACCATCATAATAATGAAATATAATTGCTTAAATTCTTTACTCATTATAAATGAAAAAACATTTTTTTTTTAATTTTCTTGTATATTTAGAAAAATGGACCATGCTGTTATAAATTAATAATAAAAGGTGATTTTAATGATTTTTTAAATTCATATTTATATTTTTTTGAGAATTTGAATAGACAGCTATTAGGCGATGCGGGACAAGGTGACGTCATAAGACTGCGAGTGGGAGGTGGATTACCCCCACCAAGAGGGGGCAGCCGGGACCGGCAGAAAGGAGCCTGAAGCGAGGAGTGGAGGAACAACATCGGAAAGGGGCTAGGAGTTTTAACATCCTAACACACCATATCCCATCATGGTGGTGGTTAACATCACGGCCGACTCCCAGGAGAAACAGCCGGAGGGGCAGGTCAAGCAGGCTAAACCGTTTCTAGGTTAGTACAAGTATTTTCTCTTGTCTATACCGGGTTAGTCCGCCATGTTACGATGCACCGTAAATAGAAAAATCATACGCAATTCCTTCCCCGGCCGTTTAACCGAATTTCTAGATTTATAGTTTTACTTAAATGTATTTTTAAATCATTTTCCCGTTGTTGTGGATTGTTGGTGTTCCTCGCCTTCCCGGTCACGTGTAGTTTTAGGCGGGTAAAATTTCACTTTCCTTATCATTTCTAATTCATAACACACCAGCCTCATGTTCTGCCATTGGGGCACTAAGCTGTACGGCCTACTGGTTATGTTTGGTGTTTTTATTTTTACTCTAATTTCTTATGTTTTTCCGTATTATGAAGCTTGTTTACATTCATTTCTCGTTTGATTAACTATTTGTTTACATTCGATGCTTGATTAAAACTTAATTATATACAAGAATGTTTTTTTATTAATTTAACTTCTATAAGATAAATATTTTGTTTTGCTGCTCCTCATGTGTTCCCTGTTTCTGTATATCAGTCTTTTAAATCTAATTTTAAATGTTTATCTCAAAGAACATAAACATTAATTCCTTTCATAACAAAGTTAGATGTCCAACCATTTTAGGTTTTAGTTGATAACCTTTTTCAATATGTAGATTAAACGATTTAATAAGCTATTTTGTGGTGGAACTGTTTAATCAGTAATTGCAAATATTTTTATTGACTAAAAACAAATTCTTTCTGTCAGGACCGACGAGAGGAGTCTGATTTTTCTAGGATAAAGTTTGCTGTGTCCTTGTCCAATATAAAATTGACCGCTGACACCCATTTTCATGTGTTATCAATAAAAAACTTATCTTAAGAAATTGTTTAATTATTATAGAATATATGTAACATCCTTTATATAGAAAGTAAAAATAAAACCTTAATAGCAGAGCTCCTGCTGTTCTCCGTTTTGTCGGGCCAGCTTTTAGTAGAATTGTTAATTTGTCTTCAATGCAAGTTTTTTGATGGAGTGCTCTAAAATCTCTGCATTGCTGTATGAGCCTCCTTTATTTTCCCCCCTCTTCAATCAACATTTTATCTTAGACATTATAAAGACTGATGTAGTGTTGTTATCTAGTTATGATGTCTATCAGGCTGCTTTATGGTTTACATTGTAGTTTTTCTTCCATGGATGACTATAGGTTTCCTAATGTTATGAGATATTTCTTCTTCTCTATAATCATTATCATCTCAATTTTTTTTTTCTACAATCACTTCTCATTATCCTAGGGTTTGTTTAGGTCATTTTATTTTTCTTTACAATATAAACTTTCATTATCAAGTATTCTGTTTCCCTATTATCTTTTGCTGATTGCACTGTAGTACTGTTCTTAAATTCATGTCCTGATTGCTTTATTAACAATTTTTTTGTTTAGTTATTTTTTATAGATATCCCATTACACTATTATCAAAGATTATTATCTGGTATGCAATCTTAGCAGTGGCAGCATTAATATTGCTGCTCTGTATTTCTTTTTGCAATCATTTCATTTAGTTCTTTCTTATCTTTTCCTTCCTTTTTTTCCCATCTTTTTGTTTTTATTTATACAAATTAATTTTTTTATTTGATAGACTAATGCATTGGATTTTGAGATATAAAAGTAGGATCAAATTCGATAAAAATTGGGATTCAGGTCTGAATAATTTTTGTTCCAGTTTATTTCATAAAAGAGAAGAGAGTTATTAATTAGCTTATAAATATTAATTTGCTTATACTATTTGTATTAAGGACAAACCAAGTAAAAGATGATGGATTAATAACTGACTGTCCTCGTAAATATTAAAGCAAAGTTGGTTGGGTTGATAAGTCACAAGTAACAAAGTAAAAATAAATAAATTATATTTATTTTTATTTTTGTCTACGTTTCGGCCTAAGATGCAGGCCTTTATCAGGGCAGCTCTAACGAAAGGTCCAGGTTATACACAGTTGTCTGGAGAGTTTTAAAATAGTCTACTCTCTGTCAGTAAGGTCTGTCTTATGGACCTTTAGTTAAAGCAGCCCTGATGAAGGACTGAACCTTGGGCTGAAACGTAAGTAAAAATGAAAATATATATATTTTTATTTTGTTACTTGTGACGGAAACCCCCAACCAACTTTTCTTCAACAAATAAATGATGTATTGCCAAGTAATTGAGGAAGGCTTTAAACTAAGTAACATACCGATATGAACCATAGGAATGGAGGAGCTACCATAAATCTCAATCAATTCGAAACCTGGACAGTTACGTTAGCATGCCAAGGTATAAGCAATGGGAAGCTGTTTCGTTACCGCAGTCACTTTTAAATAAAGTTTAAGGACAAACTTTTAAGTATATTGGAGTCAACTTGAGAGAAGGCTACTAGTTTTTTCTTACAGACAACTAGATGTTGCTGTATCCTAGATGAGGTTCCAGAAAAAAACAGTATATAATTATACTGCCGAGAAATAAACTAATATCATTTATGCTGAAGGTCTGTAAGTTTTCTTTGACTAGTTCTATACATACTTAGTTCATAAAACATTTTATTACCATAAAGCCTTCTAACATTAAACATTTTCTTTCAAGTCATTATTTGTTTAGAGATTGGTCGTTTTGTTTTTTCATTTAGTTTTCAGATGTCGGATCAGATGCACTTTGTCATGTAATTTGTGTAAAATGGAAGTGTATAATAAAAATTTAATCCAGATTAAATTGTGGGACACAGCTTGTAGTTGATTAAAAAAAATTAGAGGGATTTTTATGATTATTAATTTTGTATCTTTCCCCATTTCATTTATTTATTTTTTATATGATATTGATATATATTTTTTATTTCTATTTCAGCCCTCAAAGTAACAGGAACTGTAAAATGGTTCAATGTTAAGAGTGGCTACGGTTTCATAAACAGGTATTGTTATAGTTCTTAACTAAATATGATACAAATATTAATAGTATATACTGATAAGAGTTTCAAATTACTATTGTGGTCACATTGTTTGTTTAATATATTGTTTTAATTGTCTATTACACTGTTAATCATAGTGGTCAAAATAGTTATATCATTATTTGTGGTTCTTTAATAATTTTGGTCAAATCATCCAGTATGTATTTGGCAAAACCTACCTATTGCTACAAGTTAAATAGCTTAAAAATTATAAAAATATTTATCCATCTATAAATCTGAGATATATATAATCTGGAATAAAAGCTAATATTTGTTTTAAAAATTAAATAATTTGATTTTTAATTTTTCTATTGCATAGAGTTTATGCAAGATTTTTTTGTTATGTAGTTTTGTGATAGTAATTTTTTTTTAATTTGCTGATATTTTACAATTTGTTATTGGCTATTTGGTGTTCACATCAGGAAAAAAACAAAATATAAAAAAAATTGGTTATTTAGATCTTTTAGATTCTTGACTAATAATTTTCATCAGATTGTAACAAGAAAAGAAAATCAAAATATTCTTATTTTTAATACTTTTTATTTTAAGTTAAATTGAAATCATTATTTGAAACCAGCCAATATTCCTTATTAGTGTCATCATTATGCAGGATTGAATATTTAGAATATTGAATTCAGGAACATGTTTATTGTAATTTTCCTTTCTTTTTAAATTGTTTAAACCTTCAGTGATATTTCATTTATTTTTTAATTTTTATTTTTTATAGTATTGCTTAGGGTGCATGCATTTTAGTAATATCCAAAATTTTCTGAATCAGCAGTGTTTTCTTTGTAGGCTTACACTGTTTAATTTGTACCCTAATTAATCCCCAAAACTTGATAAAGTAGTGTAATGAATTAAACATGAGTTTATTAAACCGCACACCCCATCTTAATTTTTTTTATCTAGAGAACATTAATGTGTATAGTATGTTATATCATGGCAATGCTTGCTGTCATAAGCATTGTTAGTGTATTTGTTATGAAAGTATTAGACACATCTAATTAAAATGTATGTATGTCTGTTTGCCATTGATCTTATTAAAATCATATTTAGGATTTAAAAATTATCTTCCATGAATTTTGTTATTAACATAGGCTTTATCCAAGAACTATTACAGTTTTAAAATCTTTATATAGTTGTATATTTATATGTTTCTACTGTGTTTTTTATTTATATTTCCTATGCATGAAATCTAAAATGGTTTTAGCATGGATTTTTTTTCGTAATTCATTTTGCCGGTTTTCTGAGCATAGAGGGTGGGATAAATGTTACGATTCTTACTCCTATATTTAAAAAAAAAATTCCTTTCAGAAATACTTGTATGTTAGTTGTTCAGGTCACGAGCTTATTATTTTTATGGACTTTTGTGCTTCTTCTTGTTATAAGATTTTATATTAAATTACCTTACTACAAGTTCTTGACCAATACCTGAATTTTCTTTAACCGTCTATAAGTTCTGAAAAAAGTTACATATAAAACAAAGATATATGGTCAGCTGTGTACAGTGGTTTGTTTTGGTGATATAAATAGATAGATTTTTTATAAAGCAATCATTTCAGTGATATAAATTACTATTTTGAATTGGTTTTTTAATAATACGAAAGTTGAAGAGAAGTTTATATATTGGTTAAGAAAGCTTCTAAAAGAAATGTATGAAGTTCTTTATATAGTGTGTTGCCGAATTTCTATGTGTTGTGATTACTGTTTTGAAACCTGAATGTAAAAACTTAATACTAGTTATTATAAATATATTTGATAGATAAATAGACTAGAGGCCAATTCCGGAAGGTCCCATCTGCCTTAGGAACGTCTGCAGACAGGCAGAAACGTTCTAGTACCTACTAAATATTTCATTGTAACAGGTCTCCAAAATTCGATCCACAATATCTTATCAGTGTATGAACAAATTTTCCTTGTTAATAAATCCTCCAAAATAATAATCAAGTGTGCTTATTTAATGACAACTTAAATACTATTAAATAATAAATATTTTGGTGACCTCTGGACCGTAAGATGTGTCAATTAATCGAAGTATTTAAACAACTACACATCACTGATTCTCATTACCTGTACCCAGTAAATATAATTGAAGTAACAGCTTCAGGTTGATTTAAGTGGATGAATAACGAATAAATTACCAAAAGAGTACCAATTTAGAGTCTAAAGGTAAATATGGAGAGGAAGATTATGTTTGGTTTGATTTAAAAAATTAGGGTTTTGGCGGGATTTGGTGAGGGGAAAAAATAAGATGTAGACAGTGGTTGCAGTATATGATGTAGACAGTGGTTGTAGTATAAGATGTAATGTTTTATTTTGTTGCGGACCCACAAATGAATCTCTACCTTCGCACTCTTGTTAGAGTACGTTTGGTTTCACCTCTAAAACTACCCTTTCTTCCCTAATATGCCAAAAATGGCGAGGTAGGAGGTAATCCAATAAAAAAAGTAGTGGAATAAAGTTGTCCAACCTTTGGATTCATCTAGCTGTAACATTCTTATTTCAAGGATTGAAAATATTTATCACCTTCAATATTATCGCTCCAAATTCGATATGTTTTTTCTTGATGTTAGTTGAAAATTGTTAAAATGAGTTTTCATTGACAAACTGGAAAATTATGTTCCTTTAAATACTTATTTAGTGGAAAATTGGTTTTCTTGATGAACAGGAATAAATTGTATTTAATAGTTATTTTTCCCATGCCCTATATTGAAATCATTGCTGCTATATTTAAAAGATAGTAAAAAAAAGTTAGTGATTAATATGATAAATGCACATGAACAAATATTAGTCATTTTGGGAGCAGTGAAAAAAAAAATATTACATATGAAACAATAAACTGTGGTGCGTTGAAAAAAAAAAAAAAAGTCACATTCTATGAAGCAGTAGGTTTTTATAAATATATATATATATTTTTTTTTTTTTAAGTAAGTTTTTTCATTTATGTTTCCAAGCCTGTTTATCCTCCTACAATTTTTTAAGTATATGTAATTATCCAACATTGAACATATTTGATTTTCGGTTATGTTGTATTATTAATTTTTAAAAATAATTCTTAAATCGAAACCATGACTAAAGCTGGCTATATCTGGTTTTTGAAGATTTTAACGACCAGTGTATCTCAATAACTATTTCAGAGTTTCATATATGTTAATTAAAAAACACGCTGAAAATTAATCTTTAAAATATACAATAACATATTTTGCCTATATTGTTATGTAAGTGAGTTGCTGAAGAAAAAATAAAAGAAAGTGATTTTTCTTAGCATATTTTCAAACTAGAAGAAAACACTTTAGGTCTAGGAGATCGAAAACTTAAATTTTTAACGATGGAATAAGTACATAATACTTCTTTAACATGGTGCCGACGATATGTGAGAATCACAGGCGAATCTACGTGGGGGAGAGGGGAGAGGAGGTTTCGGGCTGAAGCCCCCCATAATGGTAAAATGTAACCATGTTTAATGTTAAAATTTATATCTTAAAGTCTTATCGTTCGTATAATTACATTTAATAGGACTTCAAAAATCACTTAAAGACCATTTCATATAGGTAGTTAGTATCTTTCTTTTTTCCCCAAAGTAATTATATATATATATATATATATATATATATATATATATATATATGGGAAAAAAACTTTCGGGCTGAAGCCCTCCCCCTGCAGAAAAAAAATTAAATTCTGCATCCGCTAGTGGTGAGAATCAAAATTGATTTTCTTTTTTTTCCGGGATTATCTTAATTGAAATTTGACTTAAAATCCGTGTGACTGACTGACTGTCATTTCATGGTTTATGATGGGAAGCTTACAATACAGGCTTGCTAGCTAACCTCTTCCGGATAAACGAATACATCGCTGGCTGATTATCTATAAAGACTAAATTTATAATTTATTCGCCTTTCCTATTTAAATTATGAATTTAAACAAAAGCCGAAATATTTTGCTGGTAAATAATTGATGATAAGTGTTACTATTTATATATGGAGCCGAGTGCCCTTGTGAAGACCGCGCTGGCGGAATTTGCGGGTGTAAGTCGGTGCATCTAACCTGTTCCCTTTGTTAGGCCGGACTGGTTTCCCTCACCGGCTGGGCAAGGATTCTGCGCAGACTTGGTTACAAAAAAAACATACCAACAAAAGTGTTTCTAACGTATTCCATTCCTGCACTAGTACAATGGGGGAACTTGGACAGAAAAATCCGTTACTTTGTAGATTCAGGTTATTTCAGATCCTTATTTTGATTAGATATATTTAATGTAAATGATTGGGGAATCATTTGTTACTTTTATCATTACAAAAATAGGAGATATTCTGTAATGGATAGACAGCATCCCATCACCTCTTCAATCATCACCATAGGAATCATTTGCTCTGAAATCGGCGGATGTCAGGGGTCTCACAATACCAACTGAAAGTGTACCTCTGAATATTTAGAGGAGTTGTAAGTGTCCTTAAGATTCTATTGTAAAAAAACAGAAATTCAAAGGAAATAACAGAGTCTGAACCAGTGGCGGATCCTGGTATTTTCTGAGGGGTGGGGCATTTTTTTATATTTATATTTATCCATGTTTTTATCATTATCTTGCTGAATAATAAATTGTGCCCAATCTGCTAAAACCCAAATGTAATATAAAGATGCTATGGTACCGTTTTGTTCTATTCACTAGAGATTTCCAACTCCAGATGTAGAAAAACATCTCTAAACCACTTAGAAGCAAGCCACCTTCGTGTTTTACTTTTGGCTTTAATTCAATAAACATTCATCCGAAAGTTCCACTCCAAATCATCTCAAACATATTGCCCCTTTTCGAAACCAAACATTTCAAATTTTGACTCTTCTCTCAATAAAAATTTATTTCACAATTATTTCGTGTTCTTTGGCAAAATTAAATTCGGCTTCGCTTGTTTAAAGAACAAAAATATGCTTCTTTTTATTTCTGGCAAAACAATCGTTCAGGCCAAATG